GCATGGTGCGCCAGGCAGCTCTGCCTCCCCAGTGGACTGTGCCTGCACCCCTGCCTGCTGACCTCTCCAATGCCTGCAGCAGTGCTGCTGCCCTGGGGGGCAAGGCCAGTGTCCTCGATGTCCCAACTTTCCTCCTGCTTACCCTAGACAAACAGAGTGTAAATCATGCCTCTCTCACCTTCAGATTCTCTTTTCTGGAATATGCCCATCCCAAGCCATAGCGGGCACATCTACATGAGACCTTCACTGGGCAGTTGATTAATTAGCCGCACAGTAAATGTATCACATCTACACATGCGCCCCTATTAGGCTGGAGTAAACTAATTTACTCCACAGCAGAATAGTACTTGTAAATACAAGTACTATCCTGCCGCAGAGTAAAAAACTCTGAAGCAGGACACATGTAGATGCTGTCCCAGGTGGCTGGGGCACGAGGGTGCTTCAATGCAGAGGCTGCCTGCCAGCTAGCCCCACAGTGAAGCACCCCGGTGCCCCAGCTAGCCCCTCTGCATCACACTGAGCCAGGGGGAGCAGCCCCGGGCTGGCAGGCTGACCCCCTGGACACCCTGCCAGTCAGGGCTGTTTCAACCTGGCTCAAAGTGGTGCACATGAATAAACTCCAGAGCTTATTATTATGGAGTTTATTGCTCCCAGGTGCACATTCAAATGATGCACTCGGAAGCAATTAACTCCAAAGCAATAAGCTCCAGAGTTTATTCATGCGCATTAATTGCACGTGTAGACATGCCCAGTAAGGAATACTGAAAGCTGGAGAACCAGGCAGTTCTAAGTCTTGGTACCAGGAAGAGCTTCCCGTCAACAGATGAAATAAAGAAAGGGCAATAGGTAGACTGATAATGTGCAAACTATCCTAACTAAACTCTTCTTCAACAACGCTATTAGAAACCCTTTGTACAAGTGTACTGAGGGTGTGCACTGAGGAGCTCCATCTCACAGGCACGGGCAATAGGGAACCGAGTGGTAGTTAGGTACATTTGATCATGATGGAACCGAAACGTGAAGACGCAAGCTTTTACTCGTAATTACAGCTTTAAACCAGTCCAGAAATACAGATACAACAAGCGTGCACAAAGCCAGCATTTTTACCAAGTCCAAAACCAGGCTGATCCTGCCTGATTTTCTTTACCTAACATCATCTTTATCCTCTTTTGCCCTTCTTTTCAGTTAACAAGAGTTATATACTGAAAGTGCTGAGATAAAGTAATGGAAAGGAGGATCCCGCAAAAGGTATTTGAAAAGCAGAAGTAATTTACTACATGTCTACTTTGTTTTACTTTCCAAGCCTTCCTGTTGTGAAAGGAAATTCGTCTTTTCTGGCAGACTCCTGCCTTTTTAGGCCTGAGAACTCCCCAGGAGCATTTGCGTGCAGATAAATGGATGTGAAACTCATTGAGTACACTATGAGGAACATGGAATTAATGACGGTTTTTGCTTTGGATGTCACGTCTGATGTATAAATAAAGCCCTGTACACTTGTTTGTGAAAAGTCCCCCAGAGGTAACAATCACATGGCTGAGTCCTGGGCCTGCAATGTCTAGAATTCGGTGGAAAGCCTGCCAATGGTTGCGGGGCGATGGGGTGGGTCAGAGCCGACACTAGGGGCTCCACATTCAATCAAGAGTTGAGAGCCACCACAGCTAGGTCAGCTGAAGACACAATGAACAGACAACTGGTGTGGCTGGTCATCTTCATATAGCACAGATCCAGTCATCCAAAGCCTTTGGGAGCAGGGGTTACCCAGTCATCCCTGTGTAGTCTGTAGTAGCAGTCATGGAGTGACTCTTCTGTAGGAAGGGGACTTTCCAATCATTTTGTATGCAAAGGCACACATTGGTGCAAAGACAGAAAAAACAAGTTGGAAGGCACCAAAAAGAGGGCACTTGTTCAACGTAATTAATTAAATTAAGCCATATTTAATTAAATATTTAAACCCAAAGAAATTATTACACCTTAAAAATGTAGGTTTTTTTGCTTTGCTTTACACTTGGAATTAAATATCTGGTATGAACCTTATTGGGACAATATGGGGAGTAGGAAAGATATTTCTGAACTGGCTGGGGGTAAATTTCCAAGCCCTCAGGTAAGGTCTCCTTGCTATTCTGACAGGAGGAACATCCTAGCAACAGATGAAGTAATAAGAAGCAGTGCATCATTTCATTGCTCAGATGACCAAAATATCTGCCCTGTCACAGATCCATAAAGCATTCTGTGCTGGTGGAGATAAGAACCAAATGTTCATTTCCTATGTTGGATTTAGGGATACAGTAACTTGTGCTGCATCAAAACAGGAGATAAGCTGTTAGTTAGAGCTCTGAAGGGCAGACCTCTTCCTTCATAGGCTGGTAGGACAACTGAGGACTCGTGTCTACTACCATGGCCCTCAAAGTCCTCTTTGTCAGCTTTGCCCTACAAGTCACACTGAATCATGGATGATCAGAGACAAATGAAGCAAGATGGAAAACTTCTATGGCATCAGTTTGGGGTTGATCTAAATTTAACTAGTTGTAAAGATGTTTTTAAAACTCCTGGCTCGGTAGAAGTCAAAAAACAACTTTCGTCTTTTCTGCACAAACTATGAGAGTCGGTGTCTTTTGGCTACATGGTAAATTAAGAATGTCTTAGTTCAGTAAGAAGTTCGAGTTTGCTGACAGTCTTGAATGCAGGCCATTACAGAAATACCGAGTCTCTCAATTGTGGAGATAGTCCAGGCAGGCTACCTATTTAGGAGAATCAACAGTGTGGCCTTCAATCCATGTTGACCATCTGGCTTGTTACTGACCAGCAGCAGACCTCCCCTGTTCAGGTAAGACTGCGTGGAGGGTTGTGGTACAACAACTCTCCTTGGATCGAATCTATCAGGGTATAGATCTGGCTATAGTCCAGGCACTGCACCGGTCAGTTTGGTCTCTGATTTCCTCCTAGCAGTGGATGCTGATCGGGTATCCAAGCTGGTAGTAGATCTACCAGCTACCTTTGATATTTGTTGCCTATGTGATACTGAAGAATGGAGAGTCATGATATCAAGCACAGATGCTCTTCAACAGCAACGTGCTTTTCTCTTGGAAAAAGAGCTATGGGCAGTGGACCACTGCCCCTTTTTATAAAGAGTGCTCAGTGCCATTCTGTCACCCTCTTTTTCACCATGGGAAAGCTTGGCTAGAAGTCATGAGGGCTTACAAGGCATGGACGATGCCCAACCATATGTCTCATCTCATCTGATTTGAAGAATGCAGTTTCAGTGCCTTAGCCACTGTCTAGTCAAGACTGGGCAGAGATAAGAATTGAGCTGGCTGAACGCAGCCCACATAAGACTGAGCTGATGATAGCGTGCAGAGTTGGCAGATATAGTACCCACCCCTTGGATATGTATCTGAAGGGGGACATCTGTCAGGAGTTAAAAATAATCACATCTTGAGAGTGACTGTAGGCCTCTAGGCTCAAGCAGGTATTATAACAGCAAACCAATTATGTCCACCATTAGTGTCTGGTTTTTTTTTCTGCCAGGTGTGAGTCTGTTGTTCATGCTTTGTCACCTCCAGATTGGACAACTGCAGTAGGCTCTATTGGAGGCTATGCCTTAAAAACACTCAGAGAGTGAAGCTGGTGCGGAAAGCAGCAGCTTGCTTCACTGAGTGGGAAATCTCCTTGGGAGAACATAACACCGGTGCTCTAGGATCAGCACTGCCAATACATCAGCTCCACTCCGTTCAGGGTAGTTTCTGAAGGACTGACACTTTCTCTCCATGCCATACTGTCATAACTGCAATCAGCAGAAACACTAATGATGCTGCACCCTCATTAAGCAAGAGATGTCACCTGGCAGGGTATTTTCTGTGAGTTCTGACGCTCCGGAATTAAGCGAAAATACCCCAGATTTGGTGATTTTTTGGGCATGCTGTGAAAGACATCTGCTCGACAGGCTCTCTAGAGAAGGCTGAGGGTATGTTTCCTACATGATGGAAGGGATAGGGGGCGAGCTGACTGGCCAAGTTCCTGTGGAACTGATTTAAATGCTGCTGAGGTTTAAGCTAATTCTGTATATTATATGATTAATTAGGGGGCTGTGAGCCTAGGAAAGGCACCTTTATCATCTTAAATTGAAATAAATGAAAATATATAAATAAAACTATATAGCAAGAAGGACCATTAAGACATATATGGATGATTTGGCAAAATATCGAGTGGTGGAAGACAAAACAGTTTTTCGGTGCTCGGCAAATAATGTAAATTCATGATAAATAACAGAAACCCTACCTAGAACAGAGATCTGTAGCATACATTTTGCTCATATAAGGGCCAACGTAACAGGAAAGTAATTTTCCTACTATTAACTATTCAGTTAGCACCAAGATAGCTGATCAAGAGACATTAAAGTACATATACAATTCAATGGAAGACCAACAAGAAACGGACATATACGGGCTAATTAACTCAGGAAGGGCTCTTAAGTTCAACACATGGTATTTCAGCACAGTCTTCCTTCCAACTTCATTGCTTTAATGACACTTCTTATCAAATCCCTTAGAAAGCTGTTGCAGAGTAAACTCAAATGTTATATAACCTTCAAAAATCCTTGCATCTCATAGAGACTTTGGGGGTTTTTTTGTTTTTAAATTAAATAAACAGCCATATTTCACAACAGGATAAAATATGGTCCACTGCCTGGTCAGGTGCTGTTTTCTGCCAAGTTGCTATCACTGATACTCCATGATTGGATCTGAAAGTTTTCCCTGAGAAGAAGAGCATATCTTTTGCTTCATTATTCAAATACTCCAGATACTTGGCCAAAATACAAATGCAATGCACTGTAAAAACGTTTGCTGGTGCAAGAGCAATCAAACCACAACAGTATTCTCATTAGATCGCCTGTCCCAGAACAAATCAGAGTTTGTTTTAATTGTCCTTTGATACAATATTTGTTCTCTTATGAAACTGAAAAAACTGGAAAGAACGTTTATGACTTGAAAACTGCAGCTTACCTGGCTCCACTTCATGCCATCCACTCGACTGACTGCCGCTTCCTGGAGAGCGCCCTTGGCTTGTATAAAATGGCTCCTCACCAGGACTGTCCATCTCATCCTCCACAGATTTGAGGCGCTTTGTAGAGCTGAAGTAGCAAAACATACAACACTGCATATTTTGAAAGGAAACATTGGCATCTTCCTTTGTAGCAGGTGAAAAAAACAACAGGGCTAGATTTTGTGACACTGGGCCATTTTGGCATTGAGTAGAGGGTGATACCAGGTCTCTGCAGCTATCCTCCTACACCTGGACCAATAACCTCAATTCTGATCAGCTTTTTTCATATTTCAGCTTTCTTTATACCAAAATTACCAAGCCTTCTGAACTGTGTCAAATGTTACTGTGATTTTCTGATGCATATAGAGCACCAAACTCATTTCTAATGGGAACCAGAACTATTTGAAACTCAGATTTTTACAGATAAAGGGCCTAAGGCCCACTTATATAAAGAAAAAATTTCCTACCAAGCTCAATTTGTTTTCCATCATTAATTCACTGTCTCACTAGCTATCAAATTAGCTGGCGATAGTAGAAGTAGAACCTCATTTTAAACACCTTTTTCTGTCTCTTTATCTTGTTGTTCACCTGTTGCAATACATTTTTTTCTGAAGAAATGTAATGACAAGAACCCTATAATAATAAGCAAAACCCTGTGAGTGATCAGATTAATTTATTGGTCAAAGCGACGTCGGTTTCAAATTTTCCTAGGATATAGTCAATATATAAGAAGTTTACTCTATAATTAAATTACTCAATGAATGAGGCATGACAGTCTTTTGCTGCTACCATGCATTTAAAAGTGAACATAGTATCATAAGAAAGTGGGTCTAGAAGGGACCTCGCTAGCAAGGCCATCCAGCCCAGGCCCCTGCTCAACGCACGATCATTCCTGATTAAACCATCCCAGCCAAAAGTTTGTCTAACTTGCTGTTGAGAATTTCCAGGGATGGAGACTCCACAACAGGCAACTTGCTTCCCATACATCACTTGCCATATACAGTACCTCTCCTAGCATATACACTGCATGACACTCAGACAAAGCCTGGGAGAATGGAGAACTCTTGCATTACGCTCCGTAGGTCAAGAGACTCAGAGGGTGGTGTCACGTTCACTTGCAACAGTTGCACATCACTGGAATGTAATGACTTATTAAAGTTAGTACCTGTTAGGTGGGAGATAACCCTGGTCTGAAAGAGAACAACCATGCAATGCCATGGAGGCGTAACTGCTTAAACAGTTGTTTGCTTGCCTTTTAACGGCACGTAGCAAGTTTAAATTGAAAGTGTGACACCACCCTAAGACTGCGTTAGGGTGATGGTGTAAGGAGTGACTTGTGAAGCCAACTTCCTTAACTGTGGCTAAGTTTATTATGAGATATACAGAGTGAGTAGAGATATTGCTATGAATTTGTCCTAACGACATTCTCCAAAGCCAGGCCAGGCAATTTTCTTTCTCAGTTTTCTGTCCTATAAGACAGGGCTCTCCAAGTTCGGGGCAGCTGGGGGCTGCATGCAGTACAGGCCACAGACCCAGGGGCCCGCACACCATAGGGGCCCCAGCCTCCGAGTCCCTCCCTCGTTGTGCGTACAACCCTATTGCCCCTCACCACGTGTGCAGCCCAACCCTCCTCGCCAGGCACACAGCCCAGTTTTCCTCTGCCGTGTGCACCCCCATTTCCCTGCTAGCCATGCACATCATGCAGACAGCCCACCTGGAGGTGCAGCCTGGACAACCTAGCTCCCTCCTTTGCAGAATGGCGCACAGCCTGGCACCTCCCCTACCACGTGTCAACCATGGGCAGCCCGCCCCAGCCTCACAAGTCGGGTCAGGAGCCGGGGGAAGGAAGGGGGGCCCAGATAACCCAGCTATGGCTGCTGCAAGAGCAGTGACACAAGTGGTGGCTGCGTAGGAGCCCACGGGCCACATGTTAACCCCTCGTGAGCCACACGCAGTGCACAGGCCACCAGCTGGGCAGCTCTGCCATAAGGTGTACTCTACCATCAACTGTAAAGCATTCAAGAACCAAGTATCCTATAGCATGAAGTAAGAATACATCACTTTGTGTACCGGGGACTTATTACATGAGCATAAAACATTCTGCTGACACAATACCCACACAACTAAACCCTGAAGCCTTTACTCAGGCAAGACAGACTTTGGCTTCACCCAAAGATGTGCTTAGGTAAGAACTGAAAGGTTTTGAAGTTTTCTATGAGCTACAGGGAGAATAGTTTGGGTATGTGTGGAATGCAGGTTCTGTCATTCCTTATTTAAAAAAAAACCCCTGTTATATGTCAGTCGGGTAAATTCTGTGCGTACAATACAATCACTGCCTGATAATTCTGCTGAGTCTGTGTGTTTAAGGAATACTTTTTTTTTCTGATTGGGAACAGCCTAATGAGAGGAAAACAAACATATTAGCAAGTTATTAACTACTCATGCTGTTTATAATAGGCTCCTTATCAGTGCTAGTTATTTGCAAAAAAATAGAAGGACAACAACTGAGCTTTTAAGTAACCTGACTTCTTCACTCCTGGACTTGCAACAAAACTCTCCCTCTAAGTGAGTCCAATGATGAGCACGGCACGTACAGTATGCAGTACAAATGTGAAAAAAGAAACAGCCCTAACTTTTAAACTGATTACTGCCACATGTAATGAGAACCTTATTTGCTGAGCTGCACAGTGTTGCTGGAGCACAAGTATACAGAATGTTCTTTCAATCACTGCACATTGTAAGCTAAAAAGTTATTGCTAAGAGACTGTCTTAAAGCTTTTTTAGAAAATAAAAATGACAGCTGCACTCGAACTACAGGGCATTTTTATTGTGTGCTTGTTTTTTGCAAAGCTGGTGGAACTGCAGACTGAGATCAAAACCTAAAGAACTCCAGTTTGAAGTTAGAATTTTGTGTCATGTCTGAAAACACTGATCTATTTTGGCTGGGGGAAAAAAAATCAATCTGTTTTCTTAATAGCGTTCAAGATGGGTGTAATGACCAGGCTTGTTTATAAATCCAATCTCATGGATGGTTAAAGTAAAAGGACAGGATAAAAAATAAAAAATATCCTTGTCTGTTAGTTAGCATCTAAGCCACAGACTCGTGCTGGATAGTAGCCAGCATCAAAAATTCAGTTGCTTGGTTGTCACAAAATTCTTAACGCCATATCAAAATGTGAATATATTAAAGGCCAAGCCCTCAGCTCTATATCAGTTTCACTGTTAACATTTTTTAATTTATAAAGAATATATGAAGTCTGGTGTCTAATCTTTCCTTGTATATAATGCAAGCTACTGCCCCTACTTGGAAGAGCTCCATGCAAAAATACTCAAGGACCTTATCATCAAGATGAAGTGACATGTCCCATTCTGCCCTTGATTCTCCTCTTGGACCAGTGCAGCACTATTGGCTTCAGCCGAATTACTTGTGTTTATAAATGGTGTAAATGAGAAATTAACTGGGACCTCTATGAAACTTTTTTCCAAGGCTGGAATATAAATAGATAGCTTTCACTGAAGCTAGGATGGACACTCAGCTTTGCAATTCTGAAAAGGTTACACGCCCCCTACCCCCAACACAACATGCCCAATAATGTAACTACAACTACAACAGATGAGCAATGACTGTTATCTAGGTTTCACAAGCAACCCAATGCCATGTCCCAACTGAATTACCTGGTAGAGGATGTGCTAGGTAAAGACCTCCTCATCGCTCCTGGGCTCATGCTGTAGTATGAAGAACTTTCCAAATCTGAGAGGGAGAAATTAGGGCCTGTTCCTGCAGCTATTGGCGCTAAGGAGACAAAAGCAGATTACAGTCAGTAAGTCGGGTGAGTAATGCTTTCACTGCATTTCAGTGTCAAATAATAAATAAATGCATTCAGTTTTGGGGAGGGAAGGGAGGTGGGAAGTGAGGGATCCCAAAGTTAACTGGCACGTTAATCAAGAAGGTATAATGTTTATTGGGGAAATACTTCTGTATGATCTAGGTTCTTCTTTTATTTTCTCCTAAGGTCATTGCTTTTTGTACTAGTAATTCTAGCTATTTGTAGCAACATCTTTTGTGGATTCCTTTAAGAAAGTCCTTCCATATTGTAATCTGAGTGAAATCTCTTGAAACTTCTTTATTTTTTATTTTTAGGTCTGGAACTGGCTTACTGAATGCCCTTCTGAATAAGAGACAGGCTGGATCCCCTGACAGTATGCTTGGCCTAGTCTGTAAGCTCAAGGGGCTGAGAGTTTTGGGGCTCTCATCAGCTTTTTGCAGAAACAACTGGCCTCAGAACACCATTATCCAAAAATTGCCTTCTGCTCTTTTTTTCCACCAGTACTGAAAGGTTTTTGTATGAGGGCCATGCTGCTATGATTTCACCTAGCTTCCTTGTGACATACCCCACAGCACTGGCTATGTGTAAGTGTAAGGTATTATAAATTCCTTTTCTAAAATTTTACAGGCATAGTGCCATGCTGAGCATGTGGAATAAAAAAAAGAAAAAGGCATGCAGCTACCTAATATAAAATACAGAAGGCGAGGTCTTTGTCAATGAAACCCACTGTATGGTATAAGATTGCACTGCCATTCGGAGGAGAATACCGCTTTGGAGTCTATATTATGGAGCATGCTTTGCCTCGCCCATTTGACAGCCTTCTGCAACGCAGCCCGTTCTGCAGTATGTGTAAGGTGAACGTCGAACGTTTTATCGGAGAACCCTGTTTCACAGAGACAAGGGATAGTCTCTTTCTGACTTCATGGGAGGTTCCCAGACAGGGTACCTTTTCACTTGCCATGGTAGGAATGAGGAAATGAAGAGCAAATGGTGCCTTAACTTGCACCACTCATCCAGGGTGAAATACAGGCCTGATGGAAGTTCGGCGACTGGTATCAATTAGGCCAGCATTTCAGCCCAAATCTTGGGGAACTGCTCCTCTCAGAATCGACAGAATTGTTCAGCCCTCCGGCTAGTCCACCATGCCCAAAAGACACTTAGCTGTTGTTTGCCAATCTAGAAACAAGGCTCTTTTACAAATGTCTGTCCTTGAAACAGAAAAGGAACAGTATGGACAGCAATGGACTTTTAAATGCATATGCTGGAAGGTAAATGCTTCTATTAAAACTTGAGAAAATCTGGCAGGATCATTAAAAGAAATTAACCTGGGAAATAATTCATGGCAAGAACACTCAAATCCTTTGTTATCGTCCTTTAACTGTAATATGCTTCCTGTGCACTGAGCATACGAGAGGATGGGCTTTTTAAAAAAAGGAAAAAATTAAGTATGGTAAAATTAACTCATTTTATCAATTTGTGCTTTCTGCTAGTTTCCTGACAGGAGCTACAAGAGGCTGTAAAACTGATGAATTTGCATGGAAAAAGAAACCAGTGTAAGTAATTTGTGTAAAAGGTAACACGGACATGGACTGCTATAATTCAGACACCCTGCAGATAGCAGACTGCTGCAGTGTGAGCAGTTATGGGTTAGAAAAATGACCATACTGCAGTCAGTCTGACTTGAATGGAAATCAATCATAAAGGTACTCTGCAGCATCTACTCCACAGTTTTCAGCAACTTCTTTGCCAAACAGATTTTTGCTTTGTAAACCCTTTGCTGATCAGTTCTCCTACATCTCAGACCTACCCAGGCCTAATTTACAGGTTAATCTTAATATTAATATTTTCCAAACAGGAACATAAAAAGGCAGGCACTAAATTAAAGGGCCATTTCGTTCCAAGGGGCAATGAATTCCCCAGGCATTGTAAGATTTATTAAATAGTTTTATTTTAGACAGATACGGAGGAAAAAACCTGTGCTGATAAATCGCCCCACCCCATTAATCTCCCCCCAGAACCCTGGGCAATGCTGGCCAAATCTTGAAGTTGGCCCTATGTAAAACTTGTGAAGCGTAATTGCAGATCTCAACATAACACACGTAGTCTGAAGAAGGGGGGAGTGGGATTGAGGAAGAGCTGGGAGCACAGACATTATCCACAGAACAGAAGGGGAAACAGCAAGTAATCTCGGGCGTCCACACATTTTGAATAACAGGGTTTGTTTGCCATGTGTTGGAACACCTTGTAATACTTGAAGAGCAGGATGAAGGATATAAGAGGAGATCCACATAACAAAGGACAGGTCAAAGAACAGAATATTTTTTTTAAATGCTCAAGTGTAAATTATGTTTAAAAAGTCTGTGATAATGTGAGTATTTAAAAGGCCCATGGCTCAAGCAAGTGAACGACTGTCCTGTTACAATTAACTCAAGGGCACTAATCTTAGCAGTGCCACAGATGTAAACTTTCCACAAGCGAAAAGGGTTTTGGAATTATATCTCAGGCATGTAAGCTGGTTATCCTTCATATCTGCTTTCTTTTCTCAATTAATGTGCTCTTGAAACTATGCTTTCCTGTAAACTGGCTGAGGAAATTGCCAAGGTGCAACCTCCAACCAGGGAGGGTTAACTCCCTTTTCTCTAGCTAGCAGAAGGTCTTTTCCTTTTCCGGTCTGAATTTTGCTTAAAGTGATCTATGCTTTCTATTGCTGTTTTACCCTAAGCCACACCTACTAACTCTTGCCTTAGACTTTGGCTGAAGCAAGCCTGCTGTTTTGTTTTTGGCTCTTAGATTTACTTTCCTGTCCTGTAAGACAACATGCCATAAAGGTATATACATTTAATCTGGTTTACACATTCTTTCTCTGGGCACTCGGGAAGACTTTACAGACCACCCGTTTTACATTAACCAGAACAATAATGAGAAGACAAGGTCATGCTTATATGTATTTGGAGGAGTCCACATCAACACTCTACTGCCAGAGAGTAGTTGGAGGGATCAAAGGTATCGAAATTGGGCAAAACCCTGCCTAAACTGAGCTTTACCATTTCAACACATGATTATCCAACATGTGAACCTCTTAGCCCGATGTACCAATAACATGTTTTGGCACTATCCAGAGCGCTGGCGTAGCTGAAATTTGCTCTGTTCTGTAATACCTTTACTATACATAAATGAGAGACTGAGATTTACTAATCACACCAAAAATATTTTAACCCTCATTAAAAAAGTTCTTCAGAAAAATACCAATAAATGGCTGAAGACCGCATCTGAAACAGGAGAAGCAGGTTGGAAATTTCAGCTCTGGGTCAAAACAATATGCTCCATGCCTACAGCAAGATGTCATTTGACATAGAGCCATGCCTCTGACATGACGGAAGAGTAAGGTGTTTTACTGGATAAAGAACTGGCCTTTCATTTAAACCTTAGCTTGATTGATGTGCGTGGAGCTTTTAAGTGAACTGATGTGGTTGCGGGTCCAATTTCAGCTGACAGGGTGGTCTACATTGCAGGAACCCAATACACATGAGATACATTTCAATCACTTGGAAGAGGCAGAAGACAGTTTGCCTGAAACACTGGACCAGTTCTCCTCCCAGGCTGATCAATCTGTGGTATATCAGGGCTGCAAGCAGGGAGCACGGAGCCATGGCTCTGCTCTGGATGAAGGCCAGCACTGGGGAATGCTCTGGCACCACTGACAGGCTATCCCCATTGCCACCCATTTATTAATTCAAAGTGGTTAAAATCCCTGTGTTTTTCTTAACCAAAAATGTTAAGAAAAACACAAGAAAAATTAACCAAACCCCTCTGACTTAATTCAATCGGAGTATTTATTTTGGAAATGTATTAGAGTACAGGAAACCCACTAAATAAAACCAGCCAAGTTGGCATTTGTCTTCCTTGGAATATGGCACTGTCTCGTAGTTATTAATGTGTGTTTTATTTCTGTTTTTCCACTTTTTTAAAACTGTTTTTACAAGACATGGATGAAACAAGGATCATTACATGTGTAACATTGCAGCAAACTGACACTGTGTTTAAGGTTAAATAAGAAACACTGCATTTGACTAATCATTTTTCTTCACAGATTATGACTTAATAAGCAGAGGGAAACATACTATGTTTTGAGGCAGGAAAGAAAGGGTAGCTGAGGTTTTTAGCACGGCCTTTGTCTTCCGTATACTGCGTTATTAGGTTCAGAGAGGTTTTGCCGAATACAACAGATATGAAATGTGTGATGTTCATTTTAAAATTACAAGTACAGCCTGCTATTGACCATCTAATTATGCTGAGTTCCATTTATAAACATAGCTAACCACTAAGTTTATAGAGACTTTTTGTGCTGCTTTAATAGGATATTGATCGAGAGCAAGGTTTGAGTGGACTGCCATTGAATTGTGTAATGGCATACAAAAGGCAAGGTCACGGCAACTGTTCATTCTATGCCTGCAGTCTATTTTTTATTATAATCTTTTTTTTTTTTTCTCCTTTAATGCCCAAGCCCAAGCAGTCAGTTTGGGATAGCAGTGATTTGCTAAGGAACAGAGGGTTTTTTTTAAAGGTTAATTTTCATGCTCCTGATTTTTAACTACCACAGTTACAGTATTGCCTAGAATAGCAGAAAGCATCCAGGCTACTGTTTGGAGAAATAGGGTTGTTTTTTTTTACATACACATATAATACACGCATGCATTTTTAAAAAGATACTCTGCCATTTACATCCACAGTACGTGCGCTCTGCGCTGGGGATCTGCATGGAGAAAGAAGGATCCTCCCCACTCTCATCTAGACATCAGAAAAGTAGTGGTCTCACCCCCCAGTCTCAGAGCTGCGGGATCACCGCCTTGAGCTGCTGACCCTCTCTCTGACACACTGAGAACATAGAGGCCTTGTGTGAGTGGAGGACCACGGCTATTGATAACCTCACCATCCTCCGGAGGATTGCACTGAGGATAGAGCCCTC